CCAGGAGCTCCTTGCTCTTCCAGGCAGACCTCCTAGTAGTCTTTCCTGCTTTCCTCTTTGTTGGTATACATCTTTCTGCACAAAGAAAGCAACATCCATATACTATGGAACTACACAAATCTAGATCTGATTCTAAAACACTGGACCCACCTACAGAAGGAAATATTAGAGACAGGTGGTTGTAGGGCAGTGTAAATTTCTAGGGGCATCTAAGTAATTAAAACATCCTTGGACATTAAGAGATATGCAGCTAGAAAAATGCCACAATGTCAGCACCAGAAAATACCAGAGAGAAATGATGAATAAAAAAGAGCTTTGTAGAAATAACTAAGAGTAGAAACCTGATGAGGTCTGAGCTAATACTTTGTTTCTCCAGTGAAAAAAAACAAGTATCTTGAATCTCTGTAGTTCTTTATTGTCAGTGGTTCTAAATATGACTTAGAAGAAGAGAAACATTTTGTATCTGCAAAACAAAAAGCATACAGAGCTGACCAATAAGCAAACAGCATTTGATTTAAAAGGTTGCCTGAATCAGCAGAGCACCTTGGCAACAGGGGGATGAGTTGCCGAGAGACCCAAGATGTACATGAACTTGGATCTTTTGGTCCCAGTCATGTGGAAACTAAGCATGTCACAAAAAAACAACACTGTCTCTGGCTTTTCTGGGAGCTTCTGGCTGCATCCTCTGTGGCTCCTGCCAAATGATGGCACCAGAGGTACTGACAGTTTGGGAAGTGATACTTGCTGAGAGGAGGAGCCACGGAGAGCTCACCACAAAATTTTAAGTCTTAGCAGTTTTACAGAATAAGATGATTCAGCACCAACTGGAATGGATTATTTATGTGTTAAAACTAAGCATTCAAGTACTCAGTTGCCCATTGAACAGAGCAGAAGTTTCCCAATGTAAACGGAAACAGAAGAAAAGAAAGAATAAAGTCAGTCATTCCTTTCCAGCAGTAGCCAGACAAGTGGGCTTCAGAAAAAAAACAACCTGATGCAAAATATTAGCACACAAGTCCTATTTTCAATTCATCACACTTCCTTGACAGTGTAAACAGGGTCGTGCCTATCCCACAGCAAACAGGTCCCTTTCCTAACATCCCTTCAGAGCCTCCTCTGCCCTCCAGCCCTGCCCAGAACAAGAAGAGCTTTTGGACCATCTCAGCAGTGCTGTCTCTGCATCCTTTTTTAACATGCCCACTCTCCACAAACACCTAGTTTCCTTTCACTATTTTTTTTCCTCTCACCTTTTCTCTTCAGCTGGGCATGGTTCTGCCTTCTCTTCTCCTCCACTGCTGTCTTGTATGCTAACAATCCCCTCCTCTACACACAGCTGTGGCAGCTCTCCAGCAGAGCCTTTGCTTCCTGCCCTTTCTGCCTCTTCCCTGCCAGTGCAGAACAGGACAGAGGGGTGCCCTACCTTAGAAGCATACAGGTGTGATCCATCCAGGTCAATAGACAGCAACCTTTAGACTGTGCACAATGTATTAAATACTGTTTTATACAACCTGGGCCGACTTTGACTACCACACTACCAACTGCTACAAGCTTTCTGCCACCACACGCAGGAACAGTGTTAAAACTCCATTCCCACCACAGTGCAGCACTTCCACACCAAGTACAAGGCATGTTCCAGCAAGAGCATCAGGAATGGACAGTGCAGGAAGTGAAAGGGCAAACAAGGTTCTGAAACCCCCAATTTCCTCAAACTAGTGTTTTACTACAGATGCACTGCCCAGGAGAGGCAAATAGTATCAACCTACATGCTATGTAACCACCCAGACACCACATACCTTCAGGAAGGCACCAAAGGGGCAGCAGAGGCTCCTGCACTGATATTGTACAACACTTAGACCAGAGGGTGAATCTGCAGAGCGAGGCACTGCTCACAGAGGGAGCAGCAGCAGCACCAGTTCAAGCATCCTGGCCAGATCCCACGGCAGCTGGATAAATCCACCCTACAGTGGTTCTCGTTAGATGGGAGTATTCTCCCCTTCCTGCACAAAACTGTTGTGCAAGTTGCCCAACACTCAAAGCACAGTGCTTCTTACCCTACAGGGAGCTGCAGCCCCTGGTAAACAGAGGGATATTTTTTGTAAAGCACTCTGCAGTGTTCAAGGATAAAAGGCTCTTCTATAAAATGTACAGTGTTGACAATGTATTTGTTTAAAGAGAAACAACCCAGCTTGAGATCCCAAGCTTTGTGTGTACAGCACTACTTCTTCATTCATTTGGTTGCTTTCAAGCCTCTCTCATTTCAAGCTCTTTCAGCTGGCATAAATTCTTAAACACTTATTTAGATTTGTTTGTTTGTCCGTCGCTTACAAAGCGGATTTCTACTGTAGAGAGCTGTGAAGCCTTGGAAATAAGCAACACTCTGCAGAAATTAAGTTAAATCAACGCATTTTTTTTCCTATTAAAAAGTTAACCAAAAAAGGGCAAAATTTCTCACTCAAGAGCAGATGTCCTGCTGGGACAGAAACAGCAAGAGGCAAACATGAGGAAAGCAACAGGCTTTTGGAGCCAAACAGACCAACAGCAACAGCTGAAATTCAGAGAATAATCCCCAGTTCAAGTGAGGACTTTCTACTTTTAAAATACACACCTATGCACCAAGTCCAGCAGTCTAATTCTGAGGTTTGTTTAAAGGAGCAGCAGAGGTTTTGGTTTGGTTGTGGGGTTTTTGGTTGGTTTGGGGTTTTTTTGGGTGTTTGCTTGGTTTGTGTTTTGTTTTTTTTTTTAAAATGCCTTGCACAATTTTAAAACCAGAGCCCAGAGGGATATATCCAGGAGCTGCCTGCAGTGAGCAGTCAGTACAGCAGGTCAGACCTCCTGAAGCACAGGCTTCAGAAGGATTATTAAATGCCTCCCTACCATGTAACAGCCCAAAGAGCAGCCAGTACTTTGCTGTTCAAATTTCTGTATCACCTCACAGCACAAGTACAACTACATGAACCATCCTTTAAAGAAAGCAGAGTTTAAGGTTAAAAATAAGGAAAGTGAAGGCTGAGCAGAGAACAAGCAGCATGAACTAGTTTTTGCACTGGACTGAAACATCTTTCCCTTCCTGTCCACACACAAATGCGTTTGAGACAAACTTCTGTGGTATTACCACCATGCCTTGCTAGAATGGAAACATCTCTTTAGATCTGGACCTTGCACAAGCTGGTTGAAATTTGCCTAATTACCGCTACATGAAAAGGGCAATTGGCAGTAATAGGAAAGCTCCCCAAGTCACTTCCCTCTCTTTTCTGTATCAAAGGGAAAAAGGAATGTCACGCCAGCCCCTCTGCAAGGCTATCACCCAGAGCAACAATTTTAGTGACCGAGATCTTGTGTTATAGCCAGAGCTCCTTTAGACTTTCCTTTTATGTGGAAGAGACAGTGCTTTGGCTTCATAAAGGCTAGATGGATTTACCAGCATGGGAAACCTGGACTTTGGCCACAAGATAAGAAGGAATCCACATGGGAAGAAAATTACATTTGGCAGAATCCCAACCCAGATTCTTCTTTTAGAGCCACACAGACAGTGACAGAACAGTTGGCTTCCTCGGCCACTGCAGCCTGACCATTTTCCTCTCGAGAACAACACAAAGCATGTCCATCATTTATTCTGCTGGAGTGTTGGAGACAGTTCCTTTTGTTACTTAGGGCAGGCACTCTGCACTGACAACCCCAACTGCTGGAAAACTCCGCTGAGACAAAGCTCACCTGAAGACAATATTGCTGTGTGAACTGATGTTTTTCCCTCCATACACAGAAAGAATCCAAGAGGGGCGAGGCCTCACTCCCCACAGCCTGTAACACTCCTCTGAAAGGGCATCGAAGTCCCATTTCTGCGGCTCGAACATGTCATTGATGCCATCTGTGCACAAGGGCATCACCATCTCAGTGCAAGCCTGGAAGAAAGAGCAGGGAAACAAGATGTATTCCCAGGATACTGTCCAACAGCTGCTAGTGCAGTATTTAAATAAATAAAATCAAACAAGATTTAATCAGTAATTACTGTAATTGTTTCAACCACTTCCCTGGGCAGCCTGTTCCAGTGCCTGACAAACCTTTCAGTGAAGACATTTTCCCTGGTATCCAATCTAAACCTCCCCTGGCACAACTTGAGGCCATTTCCTCTTGTCCTATCACTTGTCCCATGGGGGAAAAAAAAAAAAAAAATCCCACAACCCCCATCTTACCACACCCTCCTTTCAGGTAGTTGTAGAGAGTGAGAAGGTCTCTCCTCAACCTCCTTTTCTCCAGGCTGAACAACCCCAGTTCCCTCAGATGCTCCTCATAAGACTTGTGCCCTAGACCCTTCACCAGCTTTGTTGACATTCTCTGGACCTGCTCCAGCACTTCAATGTCTGTCTTGTATTGAATGCCCCAAACTGAACACAGTGTTCAAGGTGCAGCCTCACCAGTGCCAAGTACAGAGGGACAATCACTTCCCTACTCCTGCTGGCCACACTATTTCTGATCCGGGCCAGGATGCTATTGGCCTTCTTGGCTACCTGGGCACCCCACCGGCGCACCTTCAGCACCCCTAGGGCCCTTTCCAAAAGGCATTTTCCAGCTGCTTTTCCCCAAGCCTGGAGCATTGCCTGAGGTTGTTGTGACCCAAATGCGGGACCCGGCACTTGGCCCTGTTGAACCTCATCCCACTGGCCTCAGTCCACTGATCCAGCCTGTCCAGGTCCCTCTGCAGAGCCTGCTACTCTCAATCAGATCAACACTCCTACCTAATGGTGTCATCTACAAATTTAATGAAGGTGGCCTTGACCCTCCTTGTGCAGATCATTGATAAAGATATTAAAAAGAACAGGGCCCAGTACTGAGCCTTGGAGAACACCACTTATGACTGGCCACCAACTGGATTTATCTCCATTCACCACAGCATTCTGGGGCCCAGCCATCCCCCCCCAGTTTTTCAGCCAGCAAAGAGTACACTCATCCAAGCCACAAACAGCCAGTTTCTCAAGGAGGATACTATGGGAAATGGTGTCAAAGGCTTTACTGAAGTGCAGGTAAACAACATGCAGAGCCACTCCCTCATCCACTTACTGGGTCACGACCAAGCTGATTGCCTCATTGTCTTGTATGTGCCACATCATAGTACCCAAGATGATCTGGTCCACAACCTTCCCTGGCATCAAGGTCAGCCTGCCAGGGCTATAGCTCCCTTGATCCTCCTTCCTGCCCTTCTTGTTGAGGGGCCAGAACAGATATATGCTTCACGCTTGCACTTGTCATCAGTACACCTATTATATCTGGCGCAATGTCGGCAGTCAAATGACTTGACAATTCTCATCAGCTCTAGCCCAAAAAACCTCACCAAACTACCATTTAGAAAGGATAGAGTGCATACCTGATAGTACCAACCCAACTGGCCGAGATTCTTTGTTGCAGTTTCAGACATGTCCAAGCATGAGGCTTCTCCTGAGTAATTGTAGTATAAATTTACTGCCTGAAAAACATTCTGCAGCAACAATTTGTCAGGGAGATGGGGATCCTTCAAGAACTTGCAGACTTCCTGCAACAAAGAGAGAAGGGGAGGGTCTATATCTGCAAGAAAAAAAGATTCATACATGATAACTGATGGGATATCAATTTCTTTCTGAAGTACAGTCAGACAAACTGCATGGAAATACAACTAGTGTTTTAAAAGAACAAAATCACCTCAAGCAAATGGAAATCTTGGCCAAAGCACTGCAGAAAACCAGAACCGCATCAGGGAAGGTCTGCAAGTGTGAAAAGAGGTTCTGCTTTGAGGAGCAACCCTGCAAGGAAGGCATTGGTGAGGATCCACATTTCTTCTCCCAGTAGTTCTTCCACATCAGAAAAGACATAGGCTCAAAACTTTCTGTTCAGTTGCAAGCTCTGCCAGCTAAGCCTGGCATCAGAAGCTTTAATAGCATGTGCTTTTTGCGCAGCATTTGTGCTCCCCAAGAAAATTCTGCAGGACAGCTGAGGTTTTTCAGTCATCCCTGGCACTATTCTTCTGGGCTCTAGATGCAACCTATTAGCTCTGCAAGAGACAGTCAACAACCCAGTTGATGCAAAATAAGAGATTGCCCTGGTTCTCTTTCTTCAGCCACGTTGGTTCTACAGAGACAAAAATAAAGGAAAAGGTGCAGGCCAGGAGAGAAGGAGAGAATTAGTTAAACCAAATGGTCAATTCTACAAGACACTGATTCCCAATTACCTGTATAGGCCAAGCTGGCAGAGGCTGCAAGAAGTCAGCTTTATAGGGATAGTTCACCATAGCCAAGTTTACCCACGTCTCACTCAGCCAGTTTTTCAATAGAGCAGCATCCTGAAGATTTCTTAATGGGCTGCACAAATGAAATGTACTGGAAAGCCACTGTAAACCTGTATCTTTAATAAGAAATTGAAATATTTAGTGTATGGTACCATAAACACACAGGTCAGTTGTGCTGCTGCCAAAATACATTTTCATTTAGCATAACTAATCTGGTGATATTACTCCACATACATACAAGCATAGCAGATCAAATTTTAGGCAGCACCTGTAAGTGAAGGGAAAAAAAATCTGCATACCTTAGTCTGTGGGTATGTCACAACTAAGATATCAAAACAAAACAAAGAGACAGACAAGACATTTAGCACATTCTTTGGTGGAAAGTTACATAAGGGCATGCTTCTTCCAGTGGAAAGAAAACTTCAAACCTGCTAGTTCTCAGTGCAAGGACTATCAATAGGTAGATCTCTTGGGACTCTCCTGACTTTTCACTATTATTGTCTGGTCTAGAACTCATCCAGTTCAGCTTCCTTGATTTTAATTAGCTAATTCATCATACCAGGCTTTTTCTTTAGGACACTAAACTGAAGTATCCAGATTAATATTTATTTCTAGTTTAATTCCTTTGCTGTACAGTGACCTTATCTCATATGCAATCATAGAATTTGAAAATAAACTTAAGATCATTGAGTCCAACCCTTAACCTGACACTGCCAACCATGTCCCTCAGCACCACACCCACACATCTTTTAAATACCTGCAGGGATGGTGACTTCACCACTTCCCTGGGCAGCCTGTTCCAGTGCCTGACAACCCTGTCGGTGAAGAAGTTTTTCCTTCTGCCCAGTCTAAACCTTCCCTGGTGCAACTTCAAGCCCTTTTCTCTTGTCCTATCACTTGTTACCTGGGGAAAAAACCCAACACCTGTCTTGCTACAACCTCCTTTCAAGTAGTTGTAGAATCAGAGAATCATGTATCTTGTTATCAACAAAGCTTGGACAAAGCTTGTTATCCAACAAAGCAGACTTTTAAAAAATAATGTTAAGCTCATTTGACAGTTTTCAGTACTAGCAGCATAGTTTCAAAAACCCAAATACATATGGCTTTCAACTATAACACAAGCATGCTGATTTTGTGAAGTCATAACAGAATCCTGAACATTACAGTCCTTTGAAAGAGCATTGGTGAGGTCTTACCTGTTGAGGAAAGGTTGTTAATGGCATTCCAGGAATTCCGGATGCTTTCTGAGCAGCCTGTTCCACTCATTTTGAAATTATTGGTCACTATGCTGAAGTAAGTGCCACATGGAACCAAATCACCAAACTGCCAGATTGGGGCAGAGGCTGCCAAAGCTCTGCAAAGGGACATAAAAAGACCCCTTCCATCCTCTGGTCAATACCCTCCCCACAGTCACTATTCAAGTAGCTTTGATAATTCAGCTTGGACACTGAGCCCTGTATGAACTAACCATAACGCTGCAAAACTATTCCACAGGTCTGCATGCAAAGGCTGCTGAAGGTTCTAAGTCTCAGATGCTAGTACAAAGATACAAGTAAATATATTAAGCAGAAATTCAGACTTTGTTTTTCATTCTCATCTAGCAACTAGGGCTTTCTCTCTAGGCACTGTGCAAACTCAAGTGAAGAGAGTCCCTGACCACAAAAATCTACTCACTAGCAAGCAAAGGAAGGGGAATTACTATTCTTGTTTCACAGAGGGAAGCTAAGGCATTGGAAGAGATTAAAGCCTGCCTCAAGTCACCAAGAAGTCTGGTGACCCTAAAAATATCAGATGCAATGTCAGTGTTCATAATAATTGTTTTTACAAAGCTAAACAGATAATTCTGAAAATACACAGCACCCAGTAGGTGGTGACCTACAGTTGTCTTGATTAGGCAAACAGGACCTCTTCCCAAATTCAAGGTAACTTAATTCCTCCTCCCAATAATGAAAAATTCAAGCCATCTTGAATTATGGTACTTCTCCCAGTACTGTAATATTTACAGCACAGAAGTAACAAAAGCCTGCTCTGTGTTTGAGCAGGATGAATCCACTCACCCAACTACCACATGGGGGTACTTCATCCTAAACCAGGCTGCAAGCATTCCTCCATAAGATCCTCCTATAGCTATGACAGGGCTGTAACGGGCTCCTGCAATGCTTGTCTTCAAGTGCTCAATGAGTACTGCAAAGTCTGCCAGAGCTTGCTCTGATGTCAGGTAATTCAGGTGCTTGGAGTCCTGAGACAAAGAAAGCAGGTTACATACAGCATGGGAGTAATTTCCAGCAGTAGTCTTTCTACTCCCCACAGCAACTGCAGAGCTCTAAATCTGTGTCTGATAACAAATGAGATATTCTTTGCAGGTATCCCTTGAAGTGCCAGAAAATCACAGGGTTTTTTTTTTAGTCTTAGAAAAGATATTTACAAAATTAGTTGTGTGCTTTTAGCACATTTAAATCTTACTCAGACTAACGTTCATTGCACTGGCAAGAATTACAACTGGCACAATTATGTTTGTATAGAACACATTTAAGGAAGACAAAAGAAGAGACTTACGCTGAAAGATTCATTCCCAAAGGGCAAAGATTCTCCATAATATCTGTGTTCAGCAAATACTAACATGGCATTAAGCTCTTCAGCCACATCCCACATAAAACCCTGGTGGGAGGAAAATGTGCATCTAAATAAGTTGAATCAATTATTTTCAAAGTCTCTACTTTCAGTCTAGTGTATTCTAACTCTTTTTCTTTGATTAGAAAACTATAACTACAAGAATAGAACTAGAAAGAATGACAGCACTTTGGTTTTGGAGTATCACTGAAGCTGGAAAACACACAAACCAGATAACCATCCAGAGATGGGGACACATACACAAAGAAGAGATGTATATTTTAATACTGCAAAATATTAGACAGCATTGTTTTGTGAGTATACACAGGCAATCCTGAGAGAAATCCTATGGCATGAGCTTAATCCATAGCAAATAAAAGCCACTACAGAATAAAAGCATGCATTTGAGTTAGGACAAAATTACAGCAAACACAAAATTTGTCTGGCAGTAAGCAATAATCTAGAGCACTGTAATACACTTATTTTCAAGTAATAAATAACCACAACTTGTTATTACTTGTTGACAGCAGCTTGTTACCACCAGTTATGGAAACAGGCAGACAGAGATTGCCTGCTGACAGAACAAAGTGTGTAAGCAGTCCTTGGTTGCCTTGAGCTCAGCACACACCACCTCCTGTTGTGCTACTGGACTTTGTATTGAAGTGGCTGAAAAATACTCACACACTCCATTCTGCATTTGTATCAGTCAGGGAAGTAAAAACTTCCACAGCTCTTGTCAGAGAACAAGAATCTGTCTTTGATATCCAGTTCCCTTCATTTCACTTCACATTTTTCTTGTAAGGGAAAAAAAAAATATCAAAACTTCCCACTTTATGTAGGGAATGTAAACCACTATTATAAATGTCATTTGGTCCAAAAATTTGCATTCTTAGCTTGAGGCACATAATAGTGTTTCCTCTAGATATTTTCTTCACTACCCCAGGAAGCTAATACAACTGCATTCCTTAGATTTCCATGGGCTTCGAATGGCACCCTGAACCTCTAAAACTTTTTCTGTGCTTTTGTTCAGCTTCCTCATCCTTAACAATCATAACTATTACAACTTCTCTTGGAATTATATTCTGACACTGTCTTCTTGCTCTTGTTTTTTCTAGTATGCAACTACTGGAAAGAAGGACTGTAATTCAAGAATCAATAACCTATTTTCTACATACTGTATTGTTGCAGAACCACGTGATGTCTCCTTCATTGCCTGTGTAAAATAATATTGGTCCATTGTCCTTCTTCCAGTGCTGATCTGCTACTAGATACCGCTGCTGGAACATGAGATTCTCATCAAATCCAAAGTGATCAATCTGTAAGCAGAAGGAACAACGGCATGTTCAGGAAGCTAAAATTGATTCTGGAGTCCACTGGAAGTGCTGACGGTCACTTTGCAGGTGAAAATCAAACAAAAGAAAAAAAAAGTTTTACTAAGATAAAAAATAATGTCATTGAACTAATTTATACTCTGAATACATCAAAATTCTTCTGCTTCACAAATGAAACCAGTCAAGATTAGAGGTGTATATACTGAAGAAATGTTATTTTCAGCTATTAGTCAGCTATGTCTTTTTTATGGTATCATACTTAACATGAGATATTCTAAATATATTTAGGAAATCAGGCAAATCTACCGAGGGGTCACAACGTATCTGATGCAATAAAATGTCATCAACACGTAAAAAGAATAATTGTCCTGCATTGGTTTGAGTCTTGGCAAAATTCCTTACTACCCTTATTTAAAAAGCAAACAGGCACACACCAAGCACCTCTTCCTTCTCTCCCCTTTGGAGCATAAGATTGAAAATTAAACATTCTTGTTAGAAAGTGCTTTGTTGATTTATTGTGGTTTGGTTTTAATTCTTAGAAAATACTGATTCTCATTAGTAGTTGTGCTGCTGACAGATTTTTCAGGTAGTTTTATGGAGTACTTCTCCTCTCCTTGCAATTTTCACTAATTCACCTACACTCCCCGGTTCTTTCCGCTGCCTTACAAATGCTGCAAGTCTATACACACCACTTAACCCAAACCCCACAGTGTTGGCGTTATTGCCTCATTATAAATCTAATCTCAATTATTAAGATCAGTTTTTCAGCTATTATTCACACTGCTTTGTAAGCACTATTCCCCATGACCCTTCCCCACACATTCGCCCATACAGAAGAGCTTATCAGTTGCTTTTACAAGGCAGCTTCTCGCATGGGCATAATCTTAAATCCACACAGGCTTTTACTATAAAAGCCAAAAACAAACAAACACCAAAAACAAACCAAAATACAAGTCTACTCCAGAAGAGCTGTGCTGCTTAATTACCACATATTCACAAATCATCACTACTTCTATTAATCATTTGAAAGTGACCTGTAGTTTCACAATTTTGGCGTCCATCAGCACAAAGCACCATCTTTTCCTTTCCTAATTTTTTGCTGCTGGTAACAGCCTGACATCTGCTGGCTTGAACATCTCTGCTCACCCATCTGCCTTCACACCAACGACATTGCCAAATATCTCAGATGCTCCAGGAACCAATCTTTCCCATTTCCTGTTCTGAGAACATCTGCATGGTCTTGACAGACATAAGAGACAAGGTCTTCACCCTGAATAAGTTAGCTTCAGCAACTGCTTCCAGACCCAAATAAAACTAATTTATGCATGTTCCACAGTTCCGCTTAGTGGAACTATTTACTACTTGTGAGTAAGCATGCAGCAATATTATTGTGAATGTATTTAAGGGTTCTGCCCCTGAACTCAAGTGCTGTTAACATATGCTGGGCTTATTTTGCACTGACAACTCACCTGCTCCTTCTTTATTTGCATATTTATTATTAATTTTTGTTTCACTTTCTGCATCAAGCATAATCAAGAGTGATTAGTTGTAGTGATTAGATGCAGAAAGGCAGAACAAGGTCAGCCCCTGAAGAAGTCTTTGGTCATAAGACCTTGGGTCAATTAAAGAGAAGGATTAGATAAGACATATCTAACAAAAATCACAATATAGCTTAACAAGCGCCAACACTATTAGAATGTACAACTAATACATCTTTTGCTCCAGGTCTGTTTGTAAAGGAGAGAAGTATCTTTTTCTGTTTAACTTTACTGGTTAGGCTGCCAGCCAGAGATAGAAAAAAAACCCCAGAGGCTCATGTGCCCTGTTTGCCTTTTATGGAATCATCTAAAATTAAACCTATAGCTTTAATATCGGATTCTGCACCCTTCCTGCCTGAAGCCACAGCACCAACTACAAGAACATAGCACAAAAATATTCAGCTTTCCTGAACTTCAAAGATGTGTAGCAAAACCTGCTCAGTGCAGGCAGCTTAATATGAAACAGACAAAACTTACAATGGAGAGAGAAAAAAAAAAAAAAGAAAAATCATAATAGTTTAATTGTATCAGACTGAGGTTATTCAACAGGGTATTGTGCAAAACAGTTCTGAAAGGTCATCTTACTGTTCCTACTCTGTAGGAGCTGGAAGATTAGGATAGTAATACTCCAATATGAAAATTTTACCCAAACAATGGTTAATTTTTGTTTAGATATATGATTTACTATGGTTTCTTTGTGATGTGATCTGTCAGCCTACTCCCACAAAATAACCTCCCAAATCCCAACACTCTATTGGTCTGCCTCTCCATATTGAGGAGGGGGAAAGCACAGGAATTTAACTTTTCTTTTGCCAGTATTAGTAACTACATTGATCAAAGTGTCAGGATTCTTCATCTTGACTCTGAGCCACGCTGTAGATTCACTCATTGCCAGTCACATTCTTCTTTCCCATTCCAACTTCAATCTGTAAAACTGACAACCTCACAGCAGCCAAACTGCCTCTGTTCATCATATTTATAACTCAAACAATGGACACGTGTAAGCTCTCTAGCACAGACACAGACCTAGACTTCTTCAGGAAAAAAAAAAATCACAAGTACCTATTACTCAGCTACTTTATTGCTAGATGATGTGACTTTATACTTTGTAGGAACTTGTCTTTGCAAAGGTAAGACATAACATGACTAAAAAGCCCTAAAGTTTGTGAAGCAGTAGGAGAGAGATGTCATAACTGCTGGTTACTGCCAAGAAATTAAAAGAAATCCCAAATCCAGAACATCAAAACACAGTTTGGAGGTGTCCCAAGGAGCACCTCCTCACAAGAGTAAAAACTGTTTGAAAATGTACTAAGAAGCACAAGACTCGGTATAAAACTGTGAAGGGTTTGGCCACAAAGGACAAGCTGTGGTTCTCAACAGCAGATGGAGCTGTGGTGCAGCCAAACTGCGCCGCAGGGCTGCGATGGGACCTCCCGGTTCTCCTTCAACAAGCGCCTCCTGTCACCACCCTTCACACCACAGGGATGCAAACAAGCCATAAACCCCACAACTGTGGGAAGTACACTTCACCACTCTGATCATCCAGATTGTTTGGTTTGATTATTTTTTAATTTTTTTTAGCTTTCTTTTCCTTAAATCAGATTTCATTACAAAGTTGAACCAGAAAATGTCTTTTCCATACCTAGGCAAAAGGAGTATGACAACAGCAGTGACTTTTGCAACCAGACTTAAAAGCACACCACAAGAGCAAAAGAAAAAAGCAGCTTAGTACACACGATACATTAACTGTTGTTTAAAAATAACAATGGTAAAGTTATACTGGGATATATAAGGTTTTTCCAATTGCAGTTTTCATAGTTATAATTACTGGGAGGATGTCAGCAGTAAGAACAAGGTGCTGAGCAGTCTAACTTTGAAATTAGCTTTGCTTTGAGTGGGAAGTTGAACCAGGTGACATGCAGAAATATTCCAAAGCTATTCTAGGATGAATTCAAACTTGTTACACAGCCTACATTTTTGAGCTTCTGTGGTAAGACTACCCAGCAAGTTTGATTAGAAATAAGGATACAGTGATCATCAGCAATACAACAGCAATGTTTTACAAATCAAAGTATGATGTACATAAAACACTCTGGCACTGAAACAGTCATTCTAGTACTATTAAATAGAAGCATAGATAAAGGAGTACTGAAAGTAGGTAGTTAGGAGTAAGTGTAAGGGAAACTCTTGTCAGCTGAGGCAGGCAAAATGGGAATATTTCGGTGAGTTACAGCTGTGAGGCAAAGTGAGCAACAAAATTTCAGCTCCATGTAGAAGTCTTCACAAACCTTGTTTGATTAAAAAAGGAAACACCATGCATTTCCCTGCACTCTTTGAGTCCAAAGACTCACACAGCATTTGGGGAAAACAAACCTGACATGCAACAGACTGCTTAAGAGGCAGCCAGCTCCAGATGGAAGACCACAACCACTCCTCAAAGCATGGCTGCTGAGACCTGCACTCACCAGGTTTGCTTAAAAAGAGCAGCAGGCAGCAGGAGACACCCATTGCCTCTTGGGAGGATGACGAGAGCTCCAGACTGAAGGCTCAAGTCAGAAGCTTGGATCCTTTTGCTCAGAGAAACTTTGTACAGTGAAGTACAGCTCACTGGCTCAGGACAAGAAGCCTTCTGCAGAGCAGTCCCCTGAACAAAGCCCCGTTGGAAGGAAGAGATAAGACCTGCCTCGCTGCCTTCCGCTCCAGCGACCTGGCACGCTTCTTTGAGTTCACCTTCCATGTGCACATGTCTCATGTGCTTTTGTTGACTTCTCAGAGATGACTTATCTCAGGGTGGGAGGTTTTTATGTGGTTTTAGAAGTCCATCTAAAATAAAACAAGCCAGTCTGACACACATCTCCCCTGGGGAGGAGACAAAAAAGGTACAACAGATGTTAGTTACTCTACAGACGTTATTCTGCTTAATATACTCCTGGAAGTAATCAGGAACTGCGGCAATGGGTAAAGTACAAAGACAAAACAGGACACGTGGGCTCAAACCCACTGCCTTCTCAGCAGCACCTTAAAGTCATTAGTGATTACAGAGACAGGCCAGCAAACCCAAGCCTTTCCCAAAAGACAGCTATAATTCACAGAGTAGTTTCTAACCAAAAGCGTTTAATGCCATGCAAGGCAGTAAATTGTAGTTTATATACATAAAAATCATAGTTTTATGCTTTCGAGTTTCTAGCAAAATTGTGTGTGAAAGCCTTTCTGTCATGCCTTGAATTTCAATCCTCTATGCGATAGCTTTATTTTCCCAAACTTGGATACTCCACGTGAAATCACATCAGTTGTTTTACTGATAAGAAGCAAAGGGATTTTAAGAGTCATGCTCCTCCCTCCACACGTTCATGGAGTTGTTTTCAGTGCCCATCCTGTCTGAATTATTTCCCAAGGACTGGAAGATACAGGATAGTCTGAGGATATCCTCCTGCATGAACAGCAGTGTGGGCTGTAGCCTCTGGGATTTCACTGATGTGTTTCTATTCCTGAGTTTACTCCTGGCAGGCTGTGGGACCCCAGTCCAGTCAGCTGGCCCCATTAGCTTTGTTTCCTCTTACAATCTCTACTTCCTCCGTTTCAGTTGCAAGTTCATGAGGGCAGGGATTGTCTTGTCATCTCTGTACAGCATTGTAGTCAAGCGAGGCCCAAATTTTGTTACAAGCACTACTTCATAGAGTTAAATATTCAAGCTCAAAAACCACGGCGGCAATGGTGTACCACTAAAAAAATTCACAAATGTGTCTTCAGAAGAGGGGAGACAGAACCAGAAATGAAAGCTAAATAAAAACAGTTCTAAAAAGTCTCCCTCCCTGATGCCATTGTTGCTTTGTTTCCTCCTAGTACAGTTACATGTATCACAGCCTGCCAGGACTGAGGCTTCTCACCAGCAGTTGGTAAGATTCTCTCAGTTTGCCCCTGCTCATTTAATACAGAAAAAAAAAAAAAGGAAAAAAAAAAAAGCCACACCACACTAAGAAAACCAAGGTTAGCTTTTTCTCTTTTCCATTTTAAATGCAAGGGATGAGGTGTTTCCTAGCTTCCTAGGTGCAAGGGACAGCGGGGACTGAGGTTTAGCACCAGTCTGTTGAAATGCATCATTTGATGCTCTGTGGAAGAGCAGGGAGATGTAAACTGCACCTTCTTGCATCAGCCTATGGTAACCCACCAATTTGGGAGTCCCACAAAAATAAGAAAGTTGGAAGAGATGGACTCTACATCATTGTAATCTTCCACAGTCCCCATAATTTAAAGGGTTTGTTCACTAGACTTAAATTTCATGAATGTGTTACATTTAACAAAACACAGAGACAAGTTCACCCTGAGCCCACAGTGTGCCCTTGTGGTCAAGAAGGCCAATGGTGTCCTTGGGTGCATAAAGAGTGTGACCAGCAGGTCAAGGGAGCCTCTCCTCCCTCTCTACTCTGCCCTAGTGAGGCCACATCTGGAGTACTCTGTCCAGTTTTGGGCTCCCCAGTTCAAGAGAGACAAGGAACTACTGGAGAGAGGGCAGCAGAGGGCTACAGAGACACTGAAGGGACTGGAGCATCTCTCTTATGAGAAAAGGCTGAGACACCAGGGGCTGTTCAGCCTGGAGAAGAAAAGACTAAGAGGAGATCTTCCCAATGCTTGTCAAGATCTAAAGGGTGGGTGTCAAGAGGATAAGGCTAGATTTTTTTCAGTGGTGCCCAGCAACAGAACAAGGGGCAATGGGCACAAAGTGCAACACAGGAAGCTCCATCTGAACATAAGGAAAGACTTCTTTACTGTGAAGGTGACAGAGCCCTGAAACAGGCTGCCCAGAGAGGTTGTGGAGGCTCCTTCTCTGGAGAGATTCAAAACCTCCCTGGACACAATCCTGGGCAACCTGCTCTAACTGAACCTGCTTTGGCAGAGGGGGCTGGACTAGGTGATCTCCAGAGATCCCTTCCATCCTCCACCATTCTGTGATTACAATACACATGCTTTTTGCCTATTAATTGATTTCACATTTATTGTACTAGTACTTGTCTAGAGCAACCGATTGCTCCTTGGTTGGAATTAACTTTCAGCCAAACACGCTCCCTAAGACAAATGCAGGCTTCAAATCCTTGTAATGGAGGGATCTCTTCAATTGCAACTGTGCCCTTGAGAACACACTGGCGTTTGACTAGGATCATGCTTCATGCATTTTATTGAAGCTTCTTCTATCCTGCAAGAAACTATGTCACCTGCTTTTGGTAGGTTGCAAGTGTTTAAGGAAGTTTGCTTTTAGCACTCATTTATCACTTCAGTAGTTCAAAAGCCCTGACAAGGAACGTCTCAGACAGGAACTCTACCCTTGCCCTGAGTCAAACTGTTTGGACAAGGCACTTGAAAAGACCAAAGAACATTTAAACATCTACAGGACACGCTGTAGGAAAGCACCAGGCTACTCAGGTCAGCCTTTGTTAGAAACAAACAGTTTCCAAACAATATATGATGAAACATCATTTTTATGTTGGAAACTTAAGCAGCTAACAAGAACACAAACAAATTGGTTTCAGCTTCCCCAAACCATCAGTAGTTTTGTGCTGCACTCAAAACTCTGAATATTGCTTACTACATAAAAATGAAGTCCATAAGCACATTTAATTACTTAGGTATAAAATCCTCCTGCAGTCCCAGTGAAGACGCAGTTCCATGTTAAAACTCCCCCAGTTGGAAGGACAGTCTGAGAGGTCTCACAGGCTCTCCCAAAAGCTTTTTGCCCCAGACTTGAGGGTTGCAAAGCTCCAGCACAAAGGTAAGAAAGAGGGATCAAGGCAGAAGGTGGCAGGATTTGCTTCAATCAGCTTTATGGCTGGTGGTCCTTAACCACACTCTCCACTCCCCTGTCTCTCTTTTCTTCTGCAAACAATGCAGGGGCTCGTGCTGATGAGAACTGATCGTCTACAGAAATTTATAACAAACTACTACCAAATGTTCACATCTTTGATGCTTCCATTCAAGGCATTATTATCCTGGTGAAATTCTTCTATGAGACAAGTCATGGGGCAAGGTACAGGCAACAACCAGGTCAGAGCTGTATTACCCAAAGTGTGTTATTTCAGAAGGCTAAAATTAGTATGAAGAAGATGCTTTCCATCAACAAAACCAAAGTTACCCTTGTGAAAGGTCTCTCAGACCCCTAATAGGCAAAGGCCTGGAATTTTTTCCATCAGCTTTCCAGATTGAATTACAAATCCATCACATTTGGAGGATTAGCTTCAGAGGAGTGGAAAAAATTGGGCATGAACCTTCAATGTCAGAGACTAAGCAGTTTAAAAATATTCCAGTTTTGCTGAGGTTGAAGTCTGAAAAGTCTGGAAAATCAACAATAAATAGTGTAAATAATTGCTAATTGTAGAAATTTGGCTTAGATATGATTATTCTCTTTCAACTGCTAAACCTCAGGAGGCAAGACAAGAAGGGGCTAACGAAGAACATCCTGTTTCAGT